TCAAATTTGTTTAGTTTTGGTATGTTTGTCTGGGAACTATCATTTCAACAAGTTCCATATTTTCATATGCTTGATAATGATGGTGTAAAAATTACTCATTATATCTTGGAAGGTGGAAGAGAAAGTGTAAGGAAACTTAGTCGCTTTGATGATATTCAAAAATGTTTCAAAAACATAATAGTAAAAGGTAAATGAATGAATATTTATAAAGATCAACTTGAAACTATCATGTTGTAGTCCAATACAAGGTTGGCAATAGACCAAATCTATTGTGACCAATGAGTTTTGGTCTGGTCCATTGCCATTAATAAAATCCTAAAAGTTGTACTAATGGATCCAATGGACCACCAATGGATTGTTATCACAGCCAACCTTGATCCAATAGTATCACATTTTTTTCTTTAAAATTTTTTACTGCTGTGACAAATTCAAACATGCAGGTTTCTAATTTCACACATAACGGATATATATTTAATATAATTTTTCTTTTAAATAGCTTGGAATCAAGAACCTTCATTACGACCAAATATGCCTATTTTTCTTACTCAATTAGTTACTTTATACAGAAATCATTATTTACCTAGACCTAGAAGTGGCATTGGCAAACAAATTACTCTTTCATTCGATGATGATGATCTTTCATTAGGTACATTGAGTTTAGATGATGTTCCAAAAGTAATAATTACATTAGAAGATGGTATAAAACTTCACAAGGATAAAAATGATACCTCAAGAAAATTGGCATGGGAATGTTTCAAATATCATGCTGAAGTATTAGAAGATCCTAAAGCAATATATTGGAAAGGTTATTATTTGTTGGAAGGATATGGCGGAGTTGAGAAAGATCTAGAAGAGGCATCTAGATGTTTCAAAGAAGCTGCAGACCAAGGTATTTCTGATGCTCAAGTTCGCTATGCATTCTCTATATTAAATAAGGTTGATGATCCTTTAAAGGCTGCTGAGTTTATAAGATATATGGAAAAGGCTGTTTTTCTTGAAAATCAAGCTGCTTTATATAACATGGGTAATATTTATTACGAAGGGAAATTAAATTTACCAAAAAATCAAAAACAGGCAATAATTTATTATAGAAAGGCTGCTTTGAAAGGTCATGAAAATTCAATTAAGAAACTTCAAAGTTTAAATATAAGTGTTTGTAAGTATTGCAACACAAAATAATTTTTATTAAAATATCATCTAATTCATCTAATTAAATAAATTTAATTTTTATTTCTTTATAATAACCAGATGGTAAGTATTATATTATAAATTAATAACACAAAGTAAACTTTATTAAATAAATTTATTTTTCCTTTATAATAACCAGGTGGTAAGTATTATATTATAAATTAACTCTTACAACGTGAAATAATTTTTATTAATTAATTCATCTAATTAAATAAATTTATTTTTTATTTCTTTATAATAACTAGATGGTAAGTATTATATCATAAATTAACTTTTACAACACCTAATAGTAATAATGATGAATTTAAAATTGAAGGACTACAGGAAATTCCTTCACCACAATTATCCAAATCGCCACCATCTTCTCCAATTAATCAAGATAGCAAAGAAACAAAGGATGAGCCAAACAATGGAATAATCAATGAAAACAAAGCAATTATTGATAAATCTAAGGATAATTGGTTAGGATGGCTCAAAGAGGCAATTCAGAATGAACACATTAATTTTTATGAATATAGTAGTAGGTTCAAAGATATTGAAAAAATTGGTTCAGGTGGTTTTGCAAAAGTTTATAAAGCAATATTTGACAATAGCAGTACTTGTGCCTTGAAATCCTATAAACATAGTATATCAAATATGAAAGAAGCTACTAATGAGGTAAATTACAATATATTTTTGGTTGTGGATTAAAAAATCCTTAACTAATGATAATAATTGGCTCAATTAGTTGAAATTATTACGTAAAGTTGACCACCATAAAAATATTATTCGTTTCTATGGTGTCACTAAGAATGAAAGTATGTTTAAGTTATTTCCTATTTTGATTTTCTCCATTAACTAATATTTATATTTATATATAAAGGCAATGGGAAATATTTATTGGTCCTTGAGTATGCAGATAGTGGAACACTAAGAAGCTACCTACAAGAAAAGTTTGAATCAATCAGTTGGGACCTAAAACTGAAATTTGCATATGAGATTGCATCAGCTGTTTTGTGTCTACATGAAAACAATATTATCCATCGAGATTTGGTAATTAAATAATAAATTTATTATTTTTAAAAAAAATTATATTTAATAATGTTTATCTTTTTGAAAAGCATTCAAAAAACTTTTTGGTTCACCAAAAAACCATAAAATTGGCAGATTTTGGACTTTCCCGTAAAATACTTGAATCTACAACCACTTCAACATTCAAATTGATAGGATTGATTCCTTATATTGACCCACAATGTTTCAAGTATAATAGTAAGCCAAACAAAAAATCAGATGTATACAGTGTGGGTGTTTTATTATGGGAATTGACTAGTAACCAACCACCTTTTAGTAATCACCATCAACAATTTACTTTAATGTTTAGTATTTCTCAAGGAATTCGTGAAGAACCTATTCCTAATACACCTGATGAATATATTAATTTATACAAAGGTAAACATCTATTATATTTAAAAACTACATATTTATATGCATTAAATTTTTATTAATCATTTACTTCTAGCATGTTGGCAGGATGATCCAGAAAGCAGGCCTGATATTCAATATGTTGAAACTATGCTTAATGGAATGATTTCAGGCTCAAATATAGTTGATAAGGTTGATAAAGAGGAAAATTATGGGCAACAAAAAAATGAAGACAGTAATTCTTTCAGTTATCCCAGTATTATTTCAACAGAATCTACTGGCACTGGTTCACTGCAAACAAAATTTGATAAAATCTTGGATCTTTAGAATAGACAGAACCCTGAAAACTATGCACACAACTTCATTAAAATATTATCAATCTAATTGTAAATTATATGTACTGTGATATTATGTAGATTACTTAATTATTATATTCACACTTTCACTTGTTATTTATTATTATTTATATAACCAGTGTTGTTAGCAGACACAATGGACATGGACCATGGACTGTCCTGTCCTAGATAAAGATATAAATTTTCCTTGTAATTATGTCACTTTTTGACCAAAATGAATAAATTTTTTTAATTAATAAATTAATCAATCAGCCAGGTAAGGGAATAATAGATGTGATGTAATTTTATTTGGTGGGAAGGAGAAGTAATAAAAAATACAATAAAATAATTTAGCTCATCAGGAATATTTGTGAACTATGTAATTTTTTTAATGCCACATTTCTATCTTATTATTGTTCTATGAACTACACCTTTATAACCATTTAATCAAGTAGCTTGGTATACACCTTCACCTATCTTTTCAATATTTGTTAAATAATTATAAGGAATCCATTCAAGATAATATTTATTAGAATATATAGTTGCTTTTAGTTGTGTTTTTAATCAATTCATCTAATGTTTCATTGCCATTATATCATTTTTGTCGGTAGAAGTATCGTTTATTTTCATTTAAAGTGCCAAAATTATATTTATATAGTTTGGGAATTTTATTTTCCACACAATAATTTGATTTTAATATTTTTCCAATGTTTTGGCTCTCAACGTTGACAATTAATTTATATTGATATCAATGATACAATTTTTTGCAGCTGATAGATTAAACAATGGATGGTTTTTTTTATAATATGTGCTTGTTCGAAAAATGAGTGATCTAGAAAATTTAAAAAGCAGACGAAAATAAATGCGCAATTAACATTTCTAATAAAATAAAACTTTGTCATAGACTCATTGTTTTTATACTAAATAAATAAATTTTTGAAAATAAAATAAAACATTGTTTAAAGTGCTTTGATCAAAACAACAAGTGCCTTGGTAAAAACCACATTTTTTCGTGTTGGTGAGTAAATGAAGGTTAGAATTAGCGTTAGTTAACTATTAGGTGTTGACAACGATTAGTAACGTAATTTACTTTAGTGAGTAAACAAGGGTTCAGTACTAATGTTGGTTAACTAGTGGGGAGTTAGTAACGGTTAGTGAAGTATTATCCAAAGGTTAATTGAAAATACTAGTGGAGTTATTGTAATTGTAAACGTAAGACTGTTAAAGTAGTAGTTTCTTAAATTGTTTGTAAATAAATCAAAATCGGCCAGATCAAAATAAACAACTGAAATAAATCAACCACAAGTGAATAAAAAGAACTTTATAGAAGCCGTTGAGCTTTTTGAAAGTGCCATTTTATTTATTTGTACCATTAAGTGTGTTTGCACATTTGTCTAAATGCAAGAAAGAGGAAACCAAAGTAAACTTGTAAACTAATTAATTGACAAGCACCGAATTATTTGCAATTAACTGACAATAGTAGCCCAAAAATTAAGTTAACTAAAAGCCACCTTGCAATATCACCATTGAACAAAATTTTAATAATAAAAATTATGAAAATAAATATCACAAAACTATAATTTTGATAAAATTTTGAATTTGGGCACGGTTGAAACTAAAATGCTAAATATTTAAATTCAGTTGACACCATTAATCAAAACAGAAGCTTCAAAGATATTGTATGACTTTTCGGCAAGAAGATTGCTTTCATCATATAGCACTTTTTATTATTATTAGTAATATATAAAAAAATAATATTTTTGAATAGGAGTCACTTTTTTGTGCAAGTGGAGTTTCAAAATGTTGATATAGGATGCAGATAATAACAAATGTATAGATCTTTTTGCATTAGCAACGACTGTTTATAGAAAGACGTTTCGTAATCAACATGTGCATCACAGAATATCAAAACCAACTGACGGAAAGTTTTTTTCCATGAATTCAAAACCAAAGGTATTAAATAAGGAGCAAACAAACGAAAAAGATTTTATTACACAAATCATCAGTTATCGTCAACCATCTTAACCTTTATAAAAAATAATATGTGACATGCATTGGGAGTGATAAAAGGCCCGGATGCTGGTCTCAGTTTTCAAAGTTGGATCAGAAAAGTTGACAAACAAAAGAAAATTTCTTGACAATGCTTTATCACATGTAGGAGCTCACATCCAGCCTCTAGATGCTAGAATAGCTTGGCCATTCGAGTGCTGCTATAGAAAGCTCCTTTGTCAAACTTTATTAAATAACAGAAATCAAAGTCTACATATTTAAACAAAACAGTACCAATAGTAATTGCTGAGATAGGGATGACGGTTTCCATTATTAGAATATAAAAGATATGTCCGATTCAAAAATATAGTTTTGTAGTAAATAGAAGTGAATATGATAGAGCAACAGACGTTATTTATCCGAATTAACAACTGTTTCTCAGAACATAAAGTGAGCCAACTCTAATCAAACCACTTTATTCTTCACTGTAATATATGCAGAAATGCATCCTACACAATTGTCATGATCGTAATTTACACACTCGCTACCATATTTGTTGTGAGTGTTTCTCCTATTCCCAATGTATCGTTAAGTTCTGGATTAATACATGCTCCGCTATAAATTGTGGTTACTTCGGTGGTAACCAAGTGTCCTCTGGTTTTTGTAATGTGATATATTATGTTTGCCACATGATTGACGTTAATGTTGTCAAATATGTCGGATTGATGAAAAAAAGGTGCATGGAGGTTCGTCAAAGAAAATTAGATCACGATAATAATAGAACCATTATTAATTTAATAAAGTTTAAATTGAGAGCTTAGCTTTGAAACAATAGTTGCCTTTTTCGGCCTTGTTATAAAAAATTGAAGACCATTTGAGCAAAGGATTATGATTTCTTTATTGTATCTTTATATATCGAATATTCAAATATAAGTTTATCTAAAATTTCACTCGATAATTTTTCTTTTTCCCTTTCCCTTACAAAGTAATTGATAGATTCTCTTTTTTAACGACACTGTTAATATTAATATTTAATGCCACACAAAAAAGAATGTTACGCAGCAGGATTTTCATATTTTAAAAAGATTGATAAATTAATAAATTAATATTAAAAAAAAAAAAAAGAAAAATGGGAAATAAAAAGAAAACTCTACGTAAATCTAAATCTGTTCCTATAGGATGGGGAACGAATAAAAAAGAGTATTACGATGCAGAAGAGCTATCTGATTTGGACGAAGCAAAGGAAGAAGAAAAAGAAGTATTGAGATTACAAAAGATGAGAATTAGTAAAATGACCGAAGCTGATTTTTTTGATGACGATGATGATAATTTGAAATTTATTAATGTAGATAATAAATATTTAAAAATTGAAAAAGATATTGATTTGGAGTTTTTAAAAATTTGATATTTTAATAATAAAAATTTTAATTTTAGGAAATAAAACATGAAGATAAAGAAGAAGATGATGGAAATGGTAGTAATGAGAATAATGAAGATGTTGATGACGATGATGATAGTGTTGATGATAGTATTGATGATGATAGTGTTGATGATAGTGTTGATGATGATAGTGTTTATGATGATGATGATGATGATGATGATGTTGGTGTAGAGATAGAAGTTATGAAAGAACGTTATGCTAATCTTCCAAAGAGTGATATCATTAAATCATTAGAAAATCAATCTCCTGAACTTATCAAATTATTGAATGAATTCAAAGAAAAATTATCAATAATAAACGAGTCAACTAGACCAATAATTGACAAGTAGGTGTTGTTGATGCTACCATCATCATAATTATAATATTTAATATTTATTTTTACTAAAAATAAAAATTAACAAATAAATTTTTAGAGCAAAACAAAAAAGAATTGTTGATAATCCAATAATGGAATTTTTGTTTATAAAACACCAGACATTATTAAATTATCTTACAAATATATCATTTTATCTTTATCTTAAATCTTCTGGAACCTCAATCAATTTGTTTAAACATCCAATAACTGATGCACTTTTGGAATTGAATAATACATGGAAAAAATTGGAAAAATTAGAAATAAAAATGAAAAAATCCATTGATTTATTTATTGAAAAACTGAATGATGATAATGTTGATGGTAAGATATATACATCTTTACAATAAATTAATATTATTAATAATTAAAAATCAATAACTTGCTCGCACGTTTAATAATATATTTATAGTTATAGATTGGCAGATTGAATCAAATATTATTGAACATGAAAATCAAAGTTTTCAAGAAGAAAATGATGATGAAATTAATTCGGAAAATGAAAACAACAAATATTATGAAGAAGAATTATTAGAAAATAACTCTTCTGATCTGGACAATTCCAAACCTTCTTCTTCTTCACCAAAATTGACCCCGACAATATTAACATCCGTAGTAGAAAATGAATTCGTAAGCCTTAAAAAAAAGAAAAATAAACGCAAACTGGTAATTTATTATTTATCTTCAAATATATAATAATAAAATATATACTAATATGTATTAATATGTATTTATATATTTTTAGGAATCGACTGATTTTGGTGATTTGGATGTATTGGATGAAGTAGACGCAGAAGATAAAATTCAAAGAAAAAAATCTTTACGTTATCATGTTTCCAAAATTGATCAAGTAAATATTAATATTTATAGATTTTTTTTTTTGAAATTCATTAGAAATCTTGCAATTAAAAACAATAACAACAACAACATTGATTTTATTATTATTACTACTACTAATGATAATAGAAACTTGCTAAACGTGAGAAAGCCATTAAATTAAGTGGAGATGTTGATCTTCCATATAAAGATATAGATGATGAAAATAAAAGAAACATTAATAGTCGACTTAATAATAGTAATAATAACAACAACAATAATAATTATAATAATAATAATATGCGTTGGAACGATGATGGTAATAATGCCCTTGATGATGGTCATGAAGATGACAATGATGAATTTTATCAAAATATTGTGAAATTTAAAAAGACAAGAAAAGTTGAAAAGAAATTACAATACAATCAACAAAAAGAAGAAAACAAGTAATTTAATTACTCTCGCTCGCTCTCTTTTACAACTTATTATTTTAAATTTCTAAATTTTTATTATTTTATAATTTTAGAATTGTTTCATATGAAGATGACACACTTCCAAACGGCACTAAACGAAAAATCAACTATCAAATTTACAAGAACAAAGGTCTTATGCCACATAGAAAGAAGGAACAACGTAACCCGCGTGTTAAACATCGTAATAAATACGTTAAAGCAAAGAAAAAGATCAAGAGTATTAAACCTGGTGTTATCAAACAAAAAGGATTTTATGGTGGCGAAAGTACTGGTATTAATGCTGGAATATCAAGAAGTGTCAGATATTCGTAATACTATTTATTATTTTATACTTTTTATTTATGAAACTAAAACTTTATAATAAATATGAAACTTGATCTGTCTAAAAAAATTTCCTTGATCACAAAAAAAAAAAATCAATTCTAAAATGCAATTTATTGAAATAACTCAAATTCTTTATAAAATGAAAAGATATAAGCTATTATATATATTAATATAGTAGTAATAGTAAGGCGGAAAATTTTCTGACGCAAAATTTTGTCAATTATATGCAAGTTTTTACGCGAGTTTGTAACAATGGTCACGTTCGAAAAATTTCCCCGTGTTATTCATAACCCTATTACTATACTTAATTGAATCAAATTGGCCCTTATTCATACCATCTAATCTCGCGTACATTTTTATATATAACAAAAAACGAGATTCAAATACTACTAGCAGATCAAATTTAATTTTTTTGAAAAAAAGTAAAGTTGTCATGGATTTTGGTTCAGATGAAGAATTTTTTCAACCCGCAAAAAAATATAATCCTTCAAAAAAATCGCCTTTATCATCAACGTGTTCTTCAAAAAACCATGCTGAAACTGAATTCAATAATAATGATGATGATGAACGAAAAAGTGTCATTTCACAGACACAACTGCTTCAAGAATCAACAAAATCTCATTCTGGTAAGTTTTTTTTACTTCAATTGTTAATGAACTGCAAAACACTTTTTGGAATATCGTGGCAAAGATTAATATTAAAGGGATAATAAACTAATAAGATCCTAAAAGTTCTTTTTTAATTTTTTAATAAATTTTTTGATTTATTTATATTATTAAAATAAAAGAAAATGTTGAAATAATCTCTACTACAAATGACATTAACACTAACACCATCATCAGCACTTCAGCATCAGCAATTCTTAAAAAATTACTTGAAAAGAGAAAAAATAAAAAAGATCTCTCTCTTTCAAGAAAACAAAACATTCCTTTACAAAAAAAGGATGCACCTCTAAAAAATTCACCTGGATTTAATTACCAAAATAAATCAGAATTATCTTGTTTGACAATTTCCGAACCTCAAATTCTTGGTGGCACTTCTAATTTTAATATTAATACAATCTCAACAAAATTAGACACTTATTCATCATCATCATCGTCGTCGTCATCATCATCATCATCATCATCACCATCATCATCATCGTCACCATCATCGTCACCATCATCACCTTCTTGCAATGATAATAAAAATTTGATTCATGTTAAACAAGTTCTTATAAGAAATGAAACATTTTCAACAATTGATATTGTTGATCATAAAAATATGCTTCCTATTACTACTAATGCATCTGTTAACAATGGTCTTCAGGAATTAAAAATTTCAGGTGAAGATCAAACAGTCTCTTCTACTGTTACAACTTCTGCTGCTGTCATTGTCACAATCACAGCTAATGCTACAACTGCAACTACTAATATTTCTCCAACTGGCAATCACATTTCACTCCTTGACAAACGTAAAGCTAATGATGATGTTGATCAGGAAGAAAATTTCACCTCATTACCAATTGATGTTCCAGGTGTTGAAAAGAGGAAAAAAATGGAACATTCGAATGAGAGTGAAACATTGCCAAAACTAACAAAAAGGCCCAGGATTGATAAAAAGTCAAATGATAAAAATTCTTTTGCTGGTACTGAAATAACTTGGCTATCAAAAGCTAAAGTTTGTCCTTATTGTGACAAGAAGTGGGCTTGTAAAACAGATAATGTTAAAAATAGAATTGCTCACATGAAAAGATGTGGCAAAAAACTTAAAATCTCACCTGCAGATATGGTTACAATAGTAAGGGAGGTGAAGGAGCAGATGAGTCAGAATAATAATTTATCATCATTATCATTATCATCATCAGAATCAGAATCTACTATTATCATTCCTCAAGACAAATCAAAAGTTAAAAAACCAAAACAGAAAAAAATTATTGATTACTTTGCTGATTCGGATTTTGAAGATTTCAAAATAGTATCAAGGCCAATCAAAAAACTAGTTGATCCGAATAAAAATAAAAAACAAAATGGAAAACAGATGATGGCATATGATTTAAACACCACACCCATCTTACCTCCAAATAAAGCAATTAAACGATCAAACAGACTTGCAAAAAAATCATTTTTAAGCAAGCCATCTATAACTGAATTTACAAAATATTTGCCACCATCGCCATCACTAACAGAATCAAATAAAAGCAAGATAGGTGAACATTTTAAAATGATCATGGAAGAAAGACCTAAGAGCCATAAAAGAAATTATACTTTGTGGCAAATTCAGGCATTTGGTGGTGAAGATTGCCCATTAACTATCAATGACTACTATATTGACAGTGTAAAGAAGGTATATGCAGATTTTGAGTTTGATGTAAGTACAAAATATCATTATCTATTCATTTGTTGACTTTGTTGATTGTTGATTAAACAATTAAACAATTCTTTTCACCTGAATTTAGATTGCTCCCAATCAAAAACAAAAAATACTTTGAATGATGATAGAAAAATTTTTTTTGAAGGAGTTTACTCATATTGATGTATATTAAAGCAAATTTTATTTTTGTAAAGTTATCTAAAATCTTTTTTTTTTTTTTTAAATAAAAGCTATTTTTTCAATGATAATGTTGTAGTTTGGTAAATAATTTAATTTAATGATTAAATGAATTTCTATAATACATAGGAATTAAGAACATCCCAAATGACCTTTGAAGAATGAATGTGCGGTTTGATATGATATGTAAAATATTTAACAAATACTATTTATTTAATAATGAATATATGAAAAAAAAAAAATAAATAAATTATAAAACCATTTGTTTAAAAAATTTTTTGATTGCTTTTTTTTATCATTCACTACAATCACTATGACACTACCACCATTATAACCTTCAACACCAACATTATTATTACAATCCCTAACATTATCACTACTACCATTATTTTTTAAATGCATTGGCATAAATACTGAAGCATCACTGTTTAAATTATATTCAATTAAACTATTTGGTTGAATGTTTTTATTTGATGAATCATTATCACCATCTATTGATCTAGTAAATTGTTGATCCAGTTTATTTTGTAATTTAACCTGTTCAATTAATTTACTAAGTGGGCAGCTTGTATAGAATGCATCTAAATGGTGTTTATAATTCTTTGCTCCTGAAAGATATTCTTCTGATTTAATTATCTCTTGGTGTTTTGTTTCTGCTAATTCAATAATTTTGGTTAGTTCTTCTTCCTCAGACATAAAATAATATTTTTGGAAAAAATCATAAAGTTCACTAGCAGTTGGTCTATTTTCTGAATTGAATCCCAGCATTTTTTCATCAATTCAGCATAGAATTCAGGAGTGTCTTTGGTGACTTTAGGTCTTGTTCCTCCCATAATATCCATTATCAGATGATGATCATGTGGCACATTGTAAAAAGGTTTTTTACCAGCGGTGAATTCCCACATAATCATTCCAAAACTATAAATGTCTGATTCTTTTGTATATTGTTTACCTAATAATACTTCAGGTGCCAGGTATGGGATGACTCCAAAGATCTCATTTGAATTCTCATTTTTCTTCATTATTTGTTGACATAATCCTAAATCTCCTATTACACCATAACCTAGATTGTATAAAAAAATATTACCACTGTGCAAATCATGATGAATATAATTTTTACCATGAATTACCATTAATCTAATTTATTTTAATAATAGTAATAAATGTATAAAGTTAATTTTATAAAAAGAAAATACAACTTAATAATAAAATTTAAAACTTACCCTCTTGAAACCCAATAAAGTAAATCAATTTTATCTCTCCAAGTAATTTTCTTGAAATTTTTTGATAAATAATTATGTAAATCTCCATTTTTAGCATATTTAAATACCAACATATATTCATTTGTGCTTGGATTTTTTGTAATTCCAAAGCATTCATTGACAAAAATACCCATTTCAATATTTGCTTCTAACTAAAATTATCAATAATTATAAATATAATTAATATTATTTATTATATAAGATTATATAATGGCAATTAATGTCACCTCTTTTAAAATATCCATGATTTTATCATTTGAGTTATATACTTTTTTTAATACTAAATTTCTTCCCAAACACCAAATTGCTTTATAAACTTCACTAAAGCCACCTTTAGCTAAATATTCAATATTTTTGAATTCATCAAAGGGAATCCATTTAATATGCCTAGTTTCAAATTTATAAAGAAACTTGGCTATTTCTTTATTTCCACAATCAGCTGCTAAGTTCTTCAATTCCTTTCCTTTACAATTATTGCATAATACAACTCTATTCAATTTTTCATCTATGTAAATTAAAACTTTAGATGATTCATTAATTAATTTTAAACTTTTTTTATAATTTTTTTTTCCTAATCTATTTGAAAGTTTTTTTAATAAATTAATTGATTTAGTAAATAAATCAATAAGATCATTATGATTATCAATAAAACCATCACCAACTTTTAGCCAAAATTTACTAAATTTACTCTGTGTCTTAATTCTCTTAATTTGCATTATTTCTTTATTACAATCAGTACAATTTTCTATTAATTTTAAAGTTGCAAGTAAATTCATTTAAATATTATTAATTCCAAATAATTTATGACCATATAATAAATCTTTACGACTTGGATAAATTGATTCAATCAATAGTTTTAATTCATTCACCAATTTAGTTGCCTCCATCTTTAAATAATCCCTATATGAGAAATATTATGTAACACCAAATGTTTAAATGATTTAACCAAAACAATTTGTATCACACGTGATTATAAAAATATTAACACTATTTTATGACTTAATTTTATTGATAATATCATTACTACCATCACCATCACCAGTTATACTGATAATTTCAATAATGAAATGACAAAACTAAAGATTTTGGATTTGTGGACAGGTGATTGTAATAATATATTAATGACAATGACTTATTATGTTCATTAATTAAATCATGATTGATTGATTAGACTCAATTGAAAGTTGGAATGTTTCCACAAATGAAAATTATCCAATTAATTGTCAAAATTTAATCAATTATAGCGACAACATCTATTTTTTTGTGTTGTCTCTCTTTATTACTGGATGCCTTTACAAACTCCGTGTGGGGACGATGGAAAGAAATTTTTGTATCACATTATTACAACTTAGTTGGTAAGGATGAATAAAAGTTTAAAGGAAAATCTAAAATCCAAAAATCTAGTTTATTATTTAAATTCCAACAAATAAATGTTTCTATATACTATAATATCACGTTAATGTTTTAAAGAATAACCCATTACAAATCCGGATGAAAAAAGAATTTTGAAATTAAGATTTGCGATTTTGAAAAATTTTACTAAGCAAAGTGGGTATCCAAAGATACGTATAGTTCCCGGCGAAAGTAATGGCGCATGATTTTTTTACAAATAAAAATTGCAATTAATAAATTAAAAAATTACAGATATTCTTAAGCCAAATAGTATGGTTACAACTTTTATTATCACATCAATATTTGATGCGGGCACCTTCAGCATCAATACATGCCTGAACACGATTTTGCATGCTGTTGATGCTGTTAACTATTGTATTTTTTCAAGAGCTTCCCATTCCTCCATAATTATGTTAATAACTTTTTTTTGAGAAACAGTTTTTTTGTGGTGCCATTTTTTTTTATACATTTTTCAATATTATGCTTCAAAACAGTCCAGATGTTCTCAATAGGATTGAGATCTGGACTGTATGAATGCCAAGCGAGAACATATCCTGGATGCAGGCATTCAGATCATTCTGGACATACCTAGAGGTATGTTTAGGGTAATTATCTTGTTGAAAGACTCAACAACCACATACTAATGCATAAAGTTGATCATTTAGAATTTACGGTATAGTTGGCGGTCAAGGTTTTCAGTAAAGACATGAATACCAATCTTCCTCTTAAAATTGATCGTACCCAAATATGAGCTTTAAACGGATGCTTTACCATAGGTTGGACGGTTTTTTTTTTCATGAGATCATGCCAACATAGTGCTACGGAACATTTGGATAGTTGTCTCGTCTGAAAAAAACAACCTTTTTCCGGTTGTAAGGCACATGGTCTTTTGCCCACAACAAACGATTAGTCTTCGCTTGTGTGA